TGTCCTTGAGTGTCTTGAAAGACGCCCAAAAAATAAAATGAATTATTATTATTACTACTAGCTAACTAGCTTTTGACAAATCACTCACTCTATATACTGTAAAAACAAAAACAAACTATGCATAGGCCTACTATATAGTATGTTCACATTTTACAGAACATTTGTATTGTTCATTATTGTGTACAGTCTGATATCCAATATAGCTATATATTGTTTTTTTTGTCTGTGTGGCCATTCATGCCACAAGCTAACTAGCTAAACTTTCTAAACCGCAATGTAACAACTAGCCATGAAGCTAAATGCTAATGGCAGCTAACGTTTAATGTAGCCTTTAGTTATCCTTACTAGCCTACTATCTGTCTGACATGAAAAACACTTCAAGGACCACACCAGGCTTCATACAAGTTTATTTCCAATGATTCATCGCTCCAAACGTATCCCTGTAGCAGCATTTATTCTCATATCTATTTCTTTACCTAACAAGTCCAGTTGAAATTTTGGCAATTTCTCAACTTCCGGTTGAAGCTTATTGAACATATAGGACACATACCTCTATTAGAGAATAATATCCTAAGCATTTAAAAAAAGTAAGTCTCTACTCTCTACCCCATACCTGTGAGGAGTAATGCCGTTTAAAGAAACCACCGACATTAGCTAAAACGGCTAAAGCTAGCTAAGTAAACTAGTAGAGAATGAATGCTGCTGCTACAGGGATATGTTTGGGATGAGGAATCATCAGAAATATTATTGTTTGAAGACTGGTGTGGTCCTTTCAGTTAAATATGTTTGGGATGAGGAATCATCAGAAATATTATTGTTTGAAGACTGGTGTGGTCCTTTCAGTTAATTACAATTACAGTATCCATATTACCATTCTAAACAGTATATGTAGCAATGATACGATCTGTGCTAGATTATGGAAGCATGGCATATGGGTTGGCTGCAAAATCACAGTTGGCGAAGCTAGACAGAATTCAAGCACAGGCATTGAGAATTTGCTGTGGAGCATATCCAACTACACCTATAGCAGCAATGCAAGTGGAGATAAATGAAATGCCGCTTAATATCAGAAGACAACAGTTAATGGCTGTCTATTGGGCAAATCTAATTAGTCAGGATGAGATGCATCCAACAAGGAAAATATTAGAAGAGTGTTGGGAACAAGGGAGGAAGAAATACAAGAGTTTTGGACGGGTGGTAGAAGATGATATCAAAGAGATGGGGATAGATAATAGATGTGTGCCAAGAGTAAGACATCCGAATAATCCTATATGGATTTGTTCTCAACCAGAAATAGATTTAACCTTGTTGAAGATGAGACATAGAGAAGGAAGTAATGAGATGGAAGCAGTAAAAACAAATGAGTATTTAAGAAGTAGGTATGGAGAGCATATACGGATATACACGGATGCGTCCAAAAGAGGAGAGAGAATAGGCGTGGCAGTCTATGCACCAAAATTACAGGTGAGGAGGAAAGCTAGAATTAGTGATCAATTATCAGTATATACTGGGGAGCTGATGGCTATAGTGTTAGCAGTTCAATTAATTAAAGAAAGGAGAATTAATAATGCGGTCATATGTTCAGATTCATATTCAGCAATAACCAGTATTGATAATCAAAAATCAGAAACAAGACCAGATTTAATGATGGAGATCCTGCAGAATCTATTTGAGTTGAAGCAAAGTAAAATAGAAGTGCAGTTTATGTGGGTGCCAGCACATGTGGGAATTAAAGGAAATGAAGAAGCAGATAAATTAGCCAAACAAGCAGTAGATGAGGAAATGGTAGAAATTGAGATAACACATAGTATAAAGGAAAAAAAATCAGTAATAAAAGAGAAAATGATTAAAAAGTGGCAACAATATTGGGATAATGAAAGTAAAGGGAGACATTTATATGCAATACAAAAGAAAGTGGGAGAAGGAAGGAAAAAAGGGAGAAATAGAAGGGAGGAAAGTCTAATTACAAGACTAAGAGTGGGACACACAGGTTTGAATAAAACATTGCATTTAATAGCTAAACACCCAACAGGATTATGTGATAAATGTGGACAGAGTGAAACTGTGGAACATGTGATTATTATTTGTAAGGGTTATGAAGAAGAAAGGAAAGTGCTAAGAGAAGCAGTATGGAGTGAAGGGAAGAAATTAACATTGAAGAATATATTAGAGTCAAACATAGGAAGTAGTACAGTTGATGTGTTGTTCCAGTTTCTGAATAATACAGGTTTAATAAAGAGATTGTAGGATTAATATATAGGATTAAGTAAGGAAAGCTAATTTGAATGGTTAAGAGTATGGTGAGAAGCGGGAGTTAAAGGGGGTGGGGCGGATACTGGAGGAGCTGAACACGCAGCGCCAGTGGGTTTTTTTTTTTTTTTTTTTTTTTTTTTTTTTTTTTTAGGGGTGGGGAAGGATAGAAATCAAATGTTAAGTAATATAGGAAGTGGTTCTGATCCAAGCTACCAGATGATGGCAGTAATGCACTGATAAGTGCGGTTGCCAATAAAACAAAAGAAGAAGAAGAAGAAGATATTACCATTCTTTTCCCAAAACTCTGGGGCAGACCTATCGGTATATTAGTCACTATCACTTACCACAGACAATGATGAGCAGCTTCGAAGTCTGTTGGTAACCGTTGGTAACCATTGGTTGGTTGTTCCAAACTCATAAAAATTACTAAGATCATGTGTGTGTGTGTGTGTGTGTGTGTGTGTTTGTAAGTGAGCCATGATGCTAAATATCCAGCATGTTTTTAAGAATTTTGAGAGTAGTCTAAAATTCTATTGAAATTCTGAGCCTGTTGATCGCCAACTAGTAGTGAAATCATCACAGATCCATTGATTTTGTTTGGATTTTTATAATTTTTTTCTGTGTAATGAGTATAGTGTTTGGTGAAAAGAATGGCATATTGCCTGATGTCATAACTTAAGGGAATAGTTGATTGCCAATGAAGTAAAGATGAAAATAGTGGAAAATAAGTGAAAAAACGCCTGTTTTTTTGCATTAAATTGATGCGAAATCATGTAGAAATGTGTTTTATGAATTATTTTTTCAGTGGATGTTGTCCGCACATGTGTTCTGTGTATCTGGAATGCATTTATTGAGAACCTACCCAACCCACTGAGGATTTGATGAAAAAAATAATTTTTCACATTTTTCTGATAAAAAATAAAGGGTGCGTACACAAAAATGGCCACAATTTTTTTCCGCGATATTTCCGGCAGAGCAGACCCTCTAATTATTTGTTCTTAGGGTCAAAGTTAACAGAAAAAACACAAATAAAAAGTATGGCAGACCATGTCAGGTTCAACCCATTTTATAGAGCTTTTGAGACTTTGGCTCCCCGACTACATGTTGACCTCTCTGCAACAGATCGTCTCCGTGCAGTGTCTATGCTCCACAGCGCTCGCGCCCACAGTCACTTTCCCCCAAACGATCCTGTACTGCAAGTGAAGCCTGAAACTGATCGTCCTCCATGTGGTGGTAGTTAGACACTACCGGCCTGTCCCTCACGGGCTCAAATGCGTAATCCATGCCGTTAAAAGCGCTCATTTTCGTCTGTGTATACAGGACCTACAGCTGTTGTCTATGGCGCTCCGCGGGTCCTACCATGCCAGTGACGTCATCAGAACTGCCAGCACTAACAAGCGCAATTTTGCGTTGCTTAAAAAAAGCTATCCCAGGTGAAAAGGAAATGTATTTAAAATGTACTTATTTTGATATACTTAATGTATTTTAAGTGCACCGTATTAAATATGTATTAAATGTGCTAAATTGAAACAACTTCAAGTATATTAAGTGTACTTTAATATGTATTTAAGTTCAATTTTAAGGTAATAGTAATATATTTTATTATATTAAATTGTGCTAAAATGGAACCATTTTAAGTACATTTAATGTAATATAATAGCACTTATTTAAAGTGTATTTTAATACACTTTAAATCGATTTTAGAAATACAGCATTAGTATATTTTAGCTTCACATTAATGCGTTCTAAGTATATTTTAAATATAATTTTAGCTTATTAATAATGTATTTGTAGAACAATATAGGACCCACTATTAACATATTAAAAATATATTTTTTCCAAAAAACATTCAATATAAAAATAATATATTTTAATGTATTAAAAATACAGTTAAACATTTTAATTCAACAAAACCCAGTAAAAAAATATTTCTACAAAACACACAAACACTCTTTGAAAGATAAACTTTAATGCACTACATCAGTAAAGCATTATGAAAACTAAACAAAATACATTAACAGAAAATGCATTGATTTGCAGAGGTATTAAACAGAACAAAAAATAAATAAATAAATAAATAAATAAACTAACTGAAAGGAGTAGTTCACTTTTAAAAAAAAACTTTTGCTGATAATTTACTCACCCCCATGTCTTCCAAGATGTCCATGTCTTTCTTTCTTCAGTCGAAAAGGAATTAAGGTTTGATGAAAACATTCCAGGATTTTTCTCCATATAATGGACTTCACTGGGAACAAAACGGTTCAAGGTCCAATGGCTAACAGTCAATTTGTCGTGAAAGCATGAGAATTGCGAGAGTCTCGTGCTGAATGCTTGAGAGTTGGCAACCCTGACAAATCTTTTTTCAAGTCAATTCATTCATTTCGTTCGTTGAATGAACCTAATGACTCAGAAAAAGATTTGTTAATTTTGATGAACGAGTTTGAATAGGAGAGTTATGAACATGCATAACAGAACAGAGCATGGCGACCATTTGAGCTTATAAAACTTAAACGTTGTTTTTTTTTTTTTTTTTTAAATGACCGATCGTTTCGCTTGATAAGACCCTTATTCATCGTCTGGAATCGTTTAAAGCCCTTTGAACAGTTTGCACAGAAACTGCCTTTTGGACCTTGAACCGTTTGGTTCCCAATGAAGTCCATATGGAGAAAATCCTGAAATGTTTTCATCAAAAACCTTAATTTCTTTTCAACTGAAGAAAGAATGACATGGATATCTTGGCATGGGGGTGGGTAAGTTATCAGCAAAAGTTTTTTTTTTTTTTTAAGTGAACTAATCCTTTAAGTCAAACAAAGTGAAATACAATAGCAAAAAGTAAAGTGGCCAAGTCGTGAGTAAAAAGAGAAGTTCGTGACTTGTTCAGTCTGCCATAGACTCTTTTGGGGACATCAGAACCACCGAGGGAAATCTGGAAAGAATAAAAAAAACAAGCATTAGTATAAACTTGTTCATTTATAATTCTAATAAAAAGCTGTCACTTTGTTACTTAATTCAGAACACTTACTGAAGTATTAATGCACAAAAGTCAGATATAATTATTATAACAAATAGGATTTTTCTTTATCATAAAGAATTTTCTTACCATGTCTGAGGTTTCAGGAAGACACAGCTCAGATGATCTTGGGCTTGAGCTGAATGAACCTCGTTTCATGGACTCCAGGGCCTCTTTGAGAGATGATAGTATCCCTGGAAGCTCTACAAAAAAAAATAAAGTTGCATGTTATACAAAGTTAGGGCAGAACAAACACTAGTTTGTGTTCTTCATATATAATTTGTATTTTGTTTAAATGGTAAAACATATTTAATGAACCATTACTGTAACTTCCACGCTATTATTGAAGTAATTATTCATTATTAATAAAGACAGAACATTCTATTGAAAGTTACAAGTTGGTGACAGCTGATAACGACTTGATTAAATGTAAAAAAGCTGAATACCACACATAAAATCATATAAATCAGTCCCTAGAGAAAAATACGATTATGCGATTGCATAATTCAATGCATAATCAGGCAAAATACATATTCATGCGGGGGCCGGGGGACGCAATTTTTCAAATACGTGTTAATATATAATAATAGGTCACTTAGCTACTTAGCTGCTACATGACACACTATTGACTGTTTTTGTTGTTATTCATTGATTTGTTGTTATACAAATCAAGAGGATCAACTACTACTTACTCGACTTGCCCTCATCTACTCACGGTTAGGTTTAATATAAAAAAATGTCTTTGCAATGTGCAAGTTCCTTGGTTAGGCTAAATATTAAATATAAAAACTCTCATTTCATTATTTAACATCGTTTTAATTTCTCATGCAGTGCAAGATATTTAATAATTGGTTTTATAAAAGCTTATAGTTGGTGATTACAACTTAATTTATTTATCGAATTGACATGAAAACTGACAGCCTACTAATAATTAATTAGATTTTACTATGAATTAAATATCACAAATGTGAAAGTTTTATTAGAGCTTAAAATATATTATAATATTTAAAACACAAGAAGTTACTTAGGGACAATCAAGCCTGTCGTGTAATCACCATTAATAACCTTTTTTCTGAAAACACAGTGTGCAATGTTTTTATAGTTGTATTATGTCACTGTCTAGATCTATAACAATTAAGTTGATAGACGTCAATGGATAGACGTTAACTCGCTTAAATCAACAGAAACGCCAGTAATCCACAGAACATCGTCATCAACTTCTGAAAATATTTTCTAAAACCAAAGTGAGAATAAAGCCAATTACACTAATCACTTAAACTAATAAACTTACCACCAAGAAGTAAGATCTTTTCTGGCAGTATCTTGCTCTGTCCATGTCGTGGCGGCGCAGCTCTGCGTTGTCCTCTTCACTGCTAAATTGTTCGCGGGAGCTGACGACCTGGTAATCTGCTCGTGTGTTCTCTTAATATTAGATCGGTGCTATCCACATTCACTAGGTCCGAGTCAGTGAAATAACAAAGCAAAATTTGGAAAATACATGATTTCTGTTGAGATATCCGTCCGAAGCTATAATGGAATACCACAGACAGTCAGTATCCGTTGTCCGCGCCCCGCCCAACATGTAAGTTCAAATGGCAGTGTGTGATTGGACGATTGCCGGCAAGCTTGTTTTGAAAAGATTGGCTCTGATTGGTCCAAATGAATGCAACTGGAAATATTAACTAACATCCACAAAAAAGAAACAACTCTGTTAATATAAACCTAACATGCTTTATAACAAGTTTTTTTTATTCATTTTGACTAAACAAATGTAAGAGTCAAGCTTTAAGAAATTTATTTTGTTTTTCTAGTATGTACACCTGATCTTTTATGTTGATGTGTGCACGTACTGGTATTCACTTGTTTTGTGGAAAAGACTATTTGATTAATTAATGCAGAAGTATAGAAGTGCATTACTTGTTAGTCAAATTTTAGTGCTTTTCATAATTATAACAAATTAATTTAAAAAAGTTAAACCTAAAACACATAATATAAAGTGTGAAATACATATGCATTGAGTTAAGTGTTGGTAGTATTACAAAAAGTGTGGTAGTTTTTGGTATATTTCTTAAAAGCTTAACTGAGCACATATTTATAATTAAAGTGCTACTTCTAGTCTTTGTAGAAATATACAATTAATTTCGATACATGTTTAATTGCCTTCATGTTAGGAAGGGAATTAAAGGGACTTGAATTTTTAAACTTGAAGTGAACACAAAAATACTTTAATTTAGCAACAAGTATGCTTTCTGTAAATACACTAAAACTTCACTAAAACTGTGTTTGTTTTTAGCATATTTCTAAAAGTGTAATTAAGTGTATATTTATTATCATTGCGTTTCTAGTAAAACATTTTTAAATATAATTAAAATATGTTTGTATTTAGCATATTTCTTAAAAATGTAATTAAATACCAATGTACTTCTAGTACACTTTTTAGAAACATATTTAAAGCATGATTGTCATTAGCATATTTATTAAAAATATAATTAAGCACACATTTATTACCAATGTACTAATAATATACTTTTTTAGAAATACATTAAAAGTATGCTTTTCTATAGTGTATTTCTTAAAAGTGTATTTAAACATATATTTATTACCAATGTACTTCTAATATACTTTTTAGAAATACATTTAAAGTATAATTATCATTAGCATATTTATTAAAAATATAATAAAGCATACATTTATTACCAATATATTACTAATATACTTTTTATAAATACATTAAAAGTATGCTTTTCTATAGTATATTTCTTAAAAGTGTAATTAAATATATATTTATTACCAATGTACTTCTAGTATACTTTTTAGAAATATACTAAAATGCAATAAAATACATTTTTAGTACACTTTAAATAAGCATGTTATAAATACAAATGTATTATAAACACACTATTTGTATTTCAAATATATTTTTAATACATTTAATACAACGTCTTTTTCACCTGGGATATTAATATATATTTTTAAAAAATGTTTAGTGTAATTTACTTTTAATTGTCATAAACAACACGTTTTCAACGTCGATATTTTTCAGTTCAGTTCATCTTTAAAAAAGTAAGTAACCTGGGTTGCCTTAAAATTTTAAGTTGATTGAACTGGAAAAAGTGAGTTAATATAATAAAGGAGATTCATTTAATCATCAGAAACTCAAAATTATATGTTATCTGAACCAAATAAATTATTTAAGTTATTTTGACAAAGGAAAAATTTTTGTGATTACTTGATTAATATGTCAGCTGCATTGTTGTCATTAATTTCATATGTCATTTAGTGTTTGAGTAGATATTCAGTCTGAAAAAGTTTTATTTTGTAAGATAATGAGATATGAGATTTGAGTGTCAATTGTAAATGCCACACTTATCTTGATGGGACATGCTTAAAGTCTCTTACAATTACAACCAGTCATCATTACTCTGAAAGAAAAGTGATACATGCACTGATAATCAGAGGTGGAAGTAACGAATTACAACTACTCAGATTACTGTAATTAAGTAGTTTTTTCGTGTACTTGTACTTTTATGAGTACATTTTTTAGTCTGTAATTTTCCTTGTACTTGAGTACAAATTAAGTTAAGTAATGTACTTCACTATAAAAATCCCATTAATTACAAAGTACTTGTACAATTTGAATTCAACAATTATTCAAATATTTGACCAGCATTTGGGTATCCAATGGAAATAACTGATCGTGGGCGGGCCAATAAAAACCCTTTGGAGCGGGAAAAAAGCCCGGTTCCTGGAGAGCTATATTCGTCCTCACACGTCCTTCAGTTTGTATTTTAGTGTTATCAAAGAACTTTGCCGTAATGGACATGGACATTCGAGACACTGAATTCATTGAAAATTCCGAAGAAATACCAGATGACGAGTGCGGGGGCAATGCCCCCCCAAATGTATTTTATGCCCCCCCAAATTGAAATATGATATAATTTACAAAATAATATCAGTTTAATGTAATTCACATTTCAGTGAGAAATAGTACAAATATATGTCTACAAACAGCTCATTAGCTGAAAATACAATAAAGCCAACATAAAAACCACAGTGTGACGCTGTGAGGAAACCCCCTGCCGCCCCCCCCCCCCCAATCACGCACGTAATAGCCTACTTGAATGAAATGATTTTCAGTTGGCGCGACCGCGCAAGCTTCCTGCATTCAAAACAAAGCAAGCAGATGAAAACTCTCCAAAAATGGACATTAGAAAATGGTTCAATACCACAGTTTCTCCTTACACATCGACATCGATTACCCCATACAGCAAGACAACGATAGCCCGGCTTTGGTATTTGGTGCTTCTACCGTGCAGTATTGTAGTCGAGACCGAGACCAAAGACAGTCGAGTACCGAGTCGTTATTTAACTGATATGTACTGTAAATGTTCACTATGTGTTGTCACGTGATGAAACTAATAGTTTAGTTGGCCTATTTTTTGCGCTGCCCATTGTCCTGAAATGTCACTCACTCCCGCCGTGGAGAAACAGGTGTTTAAGCTATATTTTCTTGTAAATGGAAATTGTAGAATAATATCTGTGTATATGTTGAGGGTGTTTTTTATTTGTTAAAGGTGTTAAAGGTTTTTTTTGTTTTTTTTTTTGATAAAGGTAACTAGCCTACATGATGCTTTTTAATAGTAGGCTACGAATGTAAATGCTTATGTTAGAACAAAACAGAATAAAGATGAGTAACTTCCGCCATTGAGATTGCATATAAACGACTATTCTGTCAGTGAGAGACTATGTGCATGTTCGTTAGCTTTGCTATTATAAAGCTGTGGTCAGAGTCGGTCTTGCAATTTTTTTTTTTTTTTTTTGTATAGGCCTATTTAACCCTTAATCAAATTTCTTAAGAGTCGCTCGTCTTGCAACAATGTGTAATGTTTTATGTGTTTATTCTTTATTGTGTTGCATTACTTCATGGTAATAGCTAACAGAAAAGGCAGTAGCAATAATATAGGATATCTGATATCCGAAAAAAAAGTCCCCATACCTATAGTGCCCACCCATTGAAAATAAATGCCCCCCTGCTAAAAGCGGTCTGAAGCCGGCTCTGCCCATGACCCCACATGGAGGAGTTGTTCTTATACAGAGGAAGGAAAGGAGACGTTTTATAGAAACTTTGTTTCTGCAGTGATATGTGATAGTTCAGTTGTTTTTGTTTTTAAAGTTGGGTAGACCTCACGATAATTTGACTAAAAACATCACTTGAAACATGGGCTTCAGCGTTACTCAGGTGACAAGCACATATACCGTAATAAAGATTTAGCATTGTAAACTTTGATTAAAAAGTTATATTGTATGTCATTGTCAACACATTGTTTTATTAATATTGAATCCGTGTTTTAAGCTTAGAATGAAGAGTTTAATAATGACTCTTTCATAAAAACAGTATCTTGTCGGCCATGACCCACTGGCATAACAGTAACTGCACTGATTGTCAGTCTGTCTAGATGGCACATTTGTGTCAGTGCTAAATGCTGATAACTTTCGAAACTTTTGAAATATTAGTAGGGTACTTTTGGAAATCTTTATTGTAAAAAAAAAAGAAAAAAAAAGTTTATAAATAAAATATCCCAATAAGCTTATTTATTTTGCATTATAATTCATTAATAATATTAATAATCATTTTAGACCATTTTTATTACTTGGTTTCCATAAAAGTTAATAAATATCACAGGCTAAAAGTAATTAGTAATTAGTACTTGAGTAGTTTTTGAGAGGGGTACTTTGTACTTTTACTTAAGTACATTTTTAACACCAGTACTTTTGCTTGTAATCGAGTATTATTTTAGCAACTACTTGTACTTGTACTTGAGTACAAATTTTCAGTACTCTTTCCACCTCTGCTGATAATATATTGTTCATTCAGAGAAAATACGACGAAGCCATAACTGCAGTGCTCGTGTTATTTCTTTGTCAATCTTTTTATACTTCTTTTTCAGGAGTATTACATGTACCCCTGGCCCTGACATTTATGGTTTGGCCTATTTTATTTTATTTATTTATTTATTTAAAAGGGACCATGCATATTAATGAACATCTTAGCTTTTCAGCAATGTAAATATGCCAGAATTAGCCCCGGGGCTACTTTACTTCTGCAGTCCCCCGTCAGGTCATCACAATATCAAATAACAAGGCTAACATAAGATGCTACACAGTTTAAAGAACACCTTAATATTCAAATAATATATTACAAGAGACACCACTGTTTTCAGACAGGTTACACATACACATGAAGTGCTATGTACTTTAAGTACATTGCAATATGCTAAAATACTAAAATTACAATAAAGTGCTGCAGTTTGGTATATATACAAATACTTAAA